ACTCAAAATATTTGTAGAATCAGCTCAAACTTTCTACACAGTATAAGTACATCAATATGTATCAGAAAATGTAAAAAAAATTGGGGTGATTTCGGAGCCATTTTTAGAAAAAACCATGGGCTATAGCCTTGGGTACTTTTCAAAAATTGGCCAATTTTTAAAAATGGCCATAACTCAAAAAAATATTGGTCAGAATCAGCTCAAACTTTCTACACAGCATAAGGACATCAATATGTATCAGAAAATGTAAAAAAATTGGGGTGATTTCAGACCCATTTTTTAGAAAAAACCATGGGCTATATAGCCTTGGGTACTTTTCAAAAATTGGCCAATTTTTAAAAATGGCCATAACTCACAAATTATGTCTTCTAATGTAGCATAAGAACATGTACATATACATGTACAGTATAATATTTTATAAAACGTAATAAAAATCCTTTCATACAACAGGTATGTTATTATATTACATGTGTATTTATATAGTTAAGAGTAAGACCGTGTGGATTGGTCATATCATGAAAGGAGTAGATAAAGACCAGCTGTCGAAAATGTTAGAAAAATACGGAGCAGTAACTTCAATTGACGTTAGTCTACATGCACGTACATGTACATGTACACATGTAACCTGTATTCTTATTACTATGATCTTTTCCTGTACTTTTTAGTTTATTGTTGCTCGTGGGTGTGCCTATGTTGTCATGGAAACTCGTGAGGCTGCAGCTAAAGTAGTAGATCAACTGAGAGACCCAAAAGTACTGGGGCAGAAATGCAAAGTACGAGAGAGAGAGATTGTTAATAAATGCATCAGATAATGTAACTGGGAAAAATGTAACAGTGGCCAAAATCCCTTTACTATAGTACAAGGATTTTGGCCTGATGTTTGAGAAACTTCAATAATTTTTGAAAAAAATCCAAACTTGCAGCTCAAACTTTCTACATGTACGTAACATGCATGTAAGAACATGTATAATGTATCAGAAAAAATTTAAAATGGAGAATTCTGTCCCGTTCAATTTTGCCAAAATTTGTCCCAGAGACTTTGTTCCGATTATGGAGCAACTAACATATCATTACATCATATTATCGTGATAGGTTGCTTGGGCCCCAGGACGTGGTGCAAAAGGGAAAGAGTTTGATCCGAGTTGGGACGTGAACACTGGTATCAGTAACATATCATGGGACAATGTGAAGACAAAGTCACAAGTGGAAGCACTGGGTAATGGAGGCATGGTCGATACTAGTACACTCCCACCTCAGCTACGGGAAGAAGAAATAGCTGAAGTGGAGATGGAGAGTTGAGAACATTAATTTCAATGTATAATAATAATAATAGTAATAATAATAATAATAATAATAATAGTAATGTATTTTAATTGTTTTTTCTACTTTTCCAAGTTTGCAATAGTTTCATACTAAAATAACTGTTCTATTATATCCAATAGTATCTTGCCATGCACTTATCATTATCATGTGATGTCGTACACTAATCAAAATTAATGAGATATAAGATTAGATATTCAACATTATAGAGTACACTAATATCTA